TGCATCTTTAATAAACTCGACCCGGTCAGTTCTCAGGATCGCCGCGAAGTAAGTAGTCGACATTTCTTTCTTTCTCTCTCTCTCTCTCTCTCGGTTCGAGAGAGAGAACCGAGAACCTTGTAACAGTTTCCATCGTGCACGTATCCTGAAAGAAACTGGAACTCGAAGAACACTTGCACAGCTTTCGTTCCTTCTTTCGAAACGAGACCAGGCGAAAAATTGGCCGGTTAATCGTGGCCGATTAACGGTTTAAAAGCGAATGGATGATCGTTGGACGAGAAGGATTGTTTCGACGGAAATAATAACCCCTCTCGAATCGGGAAAGACTTGAAATTCCACACAGAAGGGGGGGATCGATACGCTTTGGCACCGTGTCCATGGATTCATCTTTTAATAAGCGACCCTTCTTCTCTTCTCTCGAGTCTTCTCGACGACCGACCGGTCAAGAATGCAACGCGTTCTATCAGCTGAGTTCTTTTCCGTAAACGCTCTCCATCGATTTTCTCATCTTCTTTCGCATGGTGGATGAAAGATTAGATTGGAATAAACAGGGGAATAAAAGTGAAAGAGAAAGTTTTGGGAAACTTCTTTTTTTGGAATATTTAATCCTTTGTATTCGTATAATATGCAGTGTGTTAAAATGAAATATTCAAACGTTATTAAGAAGATAAAAATTAATTCTTTGAGGATGCAACAATTTTCTGATCTGCATTAAGCTTTTTATTGTAGGGTATTTTTTTTTTACTTTGTTGCGTGTAACGATTCTCTCTCTCGTATCATGCTGGATTTTTCCACCATCTATCTAGGTGGACTAGATTCACCTGGTTGTTAAATGAAACGTTAATTAGCGCGTCGTATTAATCGATGTATCCTGTCCCCGATCGTTTCTCATTCTTCCTTTTCTTTTTTTTGCACTCTCATCTTAATCATCTCATCTTTCCACCTGCTAACGATCCTCCGTCGTGTTTTCGATCTTGTTTCCAATAATCCAACGTTCGAATCGTCGTTCGAGCTGTATACACCCATTTTCTGGCGGGAAATTATCACGTGTTTGGGAACGGAAATTCGATTCCCGTGTAATCATTGTTTCTTTTAACGAACTTTGCGCTCGGAGCAAATTACACGTTCCAAGAAATTTCACGAGGAGAAAATATTTAATCAGGGGCTAATTAATAATCGGGGCGGGAATTGGAGTGAAACGACGCACGAGTTCCCGTGAATCGAATGAATTCGAGGGAAGCATTCGGTTGGAATTTTGACTTTTATTCTACGGAGGAGGGCGTAGAGGAGGTGTTCGATGGAACGTTCGATCAGCTTTTGTGGAATGTGTGCTCAGTAGGTCGAGCAATGCGAGTGGGATGAAAAAAAAACGTCATACATATCGGGTGTCTCGTCCAGACAAATGTCGCGTGGTCACGTTTCGAATGTGACGTGAAACGTCAGATAACGATAAATACACGTCGTACGTGTTTGTACGTACACGCACACACACGGTATGTGTCTATCTTTCGAGTACGTCTTGTTTTCGAGAAGAGAATAATACCGATATTGTGTACTCGCGTATACAATTCTTGGAACAGTTTCCTACTATATACACGAGGTTGACTAAATCTGGAACGTTCAAGTCTGGAATTATCAAATGGACGTGAATTGTCGTTTCCCAGGAAGTACGAAATAATCTTGGTATTTATTTATATTCACTAATAACTAATATTATTGGGGGGAAAGGAGGAGAAAAGAACGTAGAGAACAAAAGTGTTATTATCATCGCGAGCTTAATTACGCAATGAAACAGATGTGTCAACAGATAGAGAAATGTAATAAAACGTCACGAGATGGAAAAGTGTCACGACACTTTCGAACAAGCCTTCGAACAATTTGCATTAAAGTATATAAAAATTGTGACGTATACGATTATCTATATATTCGCAAGATTCTGATCTGTCGTGCTATACACATGTGAGAATCTGTTCTTTCGTCCACGTCACGACGCTTATGTAAACCTCGAGAATCTATTGCATCGGAAAATATTTATTTTTCTTTCCTTTTTTTCCCTTCCTTTCTTTTCTCAAAGGAAATCTCGTTTGACACGACTTAAATGGCATCGCTGATGATCGATGTTTTTTTGCTCTGAAAATTTATACCGTTAATACTTAAATCGCATTTAAAATATTTACACAAAAGATTATATTATCCGTATAAAATGTAAAATAAAGATCGATCACGAGCTGGCCGATCTTCATTCGCGCAAAATTTCATTTTCCGATTCTTTTACTCGCGAGTAACCGGTCCACGAAACCTCTCTCCTCCTCCTCCTCATCGATCGATCCAATCGATCTAACCCATTTCCATGAAACGCCATGCATACCCCGTATACCCCAGAAACACGTCGAGCCCTCCACCTCCACCACTGAAAGGGTGAAAGGAAGAGGGGCGAGAGAAGAATCCGTGGCATAAAATTGTCGGTCGAGTCGAAAACCGCATAGCGGGAAGCAGCCCCACTGGCAGGGGGGAGGAGGGTCGAGAAACGTCAGCCCTCGCCGAGGATAGAATCTCGACCTACGTTCAGGTCTCGCGGTCGCTTCCGGCCAAACATCGACGGCGTAAGGGCCGCGGGAGGGTGGAGGGGTTATTCGGAAATTCGCGAGCGGAGGGCGCCGCGGCGTCGACGAAAGAACGAAAGAAAGAAAAGTTTGGGCGTATGCGGCGTGGCTGGTCCCCCTCTTCGTTTCACCTTCGCGGCTCCTCGCCACCCTTCTCCTTCGACCGGAGATCCTCCCTCTCCTCCGCTCCCTCTGTGTTCTCTCCTTCCTTGTCCCACCCTTCCTCCCGTTCTTCTCCCTCTCTCTCTCTCTCTCTCTCTGTTCATNCTCTTTCCACCCCCGTGCAATCGACGTAGCGCGTTTATCGAACGACTGCGCGCGCAGCGATAACGGGGATGGGGCGTGCTACGTGTTGGTTGGTCGCAGAAAGACTGGCGGTGGACGGACGAACGAGCGAAGTAACGAACGAGAGGAATCGTGCAACGACGACGACGACGACGACGAGGACGAGGTGACGGTGACGGCGACGTCGGCGAACACGGGAGCACCAGACACGAATCGGAGCTCGCCGCGCCACTGTTTCCCGACCAGCTCTGTCAACACACATACACACACATATACACACACACACACACGGCCAGCCCCAACAACGCGCTTTGTCAACAGTGACAGCTCGTGTACGCTCGCGAGCGTGTACAGGTCAAAGTGGGTTCCACGTTTACATACGTAATTTCGAGAGGAGTGCGTTGCAATTGCCGGGACGAGGAGTCGTACGCGAGTTCGTCGAGGAGATAACCCGAAGAGGAAGAGCGAGTGGAAGAGGAAGAAACGAGGAAGATAGAAGATAGGATAGGATCGGGAAAGAAGCGGAATAATATCGAATATATCTCTGGTTGATCCGGAGAGAGTAGCCGGGAGGGCAAGGGTAAACAAAGAGGTATCTGGTGTCCAGAGAGGAAGAAGAGTGAACGTTCTCGTGGATGGTTTGTTGTTGGCTCGTATCGATCCATCGGGAAGGAAAGTTCGGGGCTAATCCACGGATCTACGGGGAGGACCGCGTGGAGGGAACGGCTGGAAAAGTGGTAAATCGAGTGCGGCGGGAGTGCGACGTCGAGGTGGTGCTGGTGGTGAACGGCGAACGAAAGTTGAGGGGGATCGTGGGAGAGACGGAGGGCTGTTCACCAGGGAAAAGGTGTAATCGTGGCTTTCGGAGGCGACGAGAGGAAACCAGAGGGAGGAAGGGATAATAATAATATATATCCGGTGAGGTATATCAGGTGCGTCGCTTTTTGTGTTTTCATTCAACCGTTTTGATCCTCCCTCCGAAAGGCGGAGGGCGGCGAGGAAGGCATCGATCGCTCGCCATTTTGCACGTCGACCGACATCTTCTCCACGCATCGACGACATTTTCCCTCGTGACGGTAAGACAGAGGAGGGAATTTTCGGCGAGCCGTAGCCGATCCACGATCCGGCCGAGGAAAGAGTGTGCGCCGCCGAATATCGCGCAGTATATTTTTTTCGCGTATATACTCGTTCGGTGGTTATCGATCGCGCGTGAACCTGTACGAGGTTCGAGGTTCTCTCTGGCCGAGGAGAGGGTACGCGATCGCGATTAGCCGACGAAACAGAGGACGAAGGTGAAGGAGAGAAGGAGGATAAAACTGAGAGGGAAGAAGTAGCTCGGAATTAAGGGAAAGTAGAAAAGGGGGAGAGAACAGGGTCGTTCAGGTCGCAGGTAGAAGTCAGCAGGCTGGGAGGTCGGCTGAGCGAGGTGGTGGGTCCCGTCGTGGAGGAGGCCATCGAGCCAGG